TTTTTTCGGTTAGGGAGTTCTATCCACTAGTTCGGTTAGAGTATGGTGGGAGGAGGATGTGGGCGAGTGAGGAGTCACTGAGGGAGTGGCAGCGAGGAGGCTGACTGGCTGGTGTGTGGTGGCCACTCCTCATTGCTTTTTGACTCACCATATCAACTTATTGGTTTTTTATGGTGAACAAAACATGCAGATACTTATATATAACTGTGTATATAGTGTAATAATCGACGAAGTATTTGTTTATTGTTTTATGAACACAATAATTGAATCAATAATATGCATACCATAATTTTGAGTACAGAAATGATTCACACATTTTATTATATAAATATATCATACTACACACTATTGTATTGAATAATATTATAGTAAAAAAACGAAGAAAAAATCAATCAGAGACATTGAAATAATTAGGTAATTATATCTTTGTGGCCACTCCTGCCTGACAGCTGGGGCTGAGCAGACCACCTCGGATGCATGCTGAGTCAGCACCTCTTTTTTTGCCAGACTTCCCCGCCCTATAGCGACCAAAATATGCCATTTACGTTTTTTTTATTATGATTCCCGTGATCAGGGAACACAAATTAACAGGTTAACCACTGAACTGCGCAACACACTTGCAGGCCCTTGATGGGGGGTGCGCAACACGCCTCCAGGTATTTGTATTTTTAGCGTATGATTAAAAACTCCCACGGCTACATGGGGTTCACATCAGCTTCCTCAGGCCTCTTGTAAACAGACGCCATTTAAAAAAATATCGTGGGCAACATTCCCGGGTGTGAGAGCCTCAGTACTGAGTGAGCAACCAAGGCTGATGCACACAGCATGATCTCACAGTACTGATGTTCAGCTTGTGACCACAGCATCGTCTAATAATGTCAAAATATATAACTGGTATTATTTAGCCATGATAGTATTACAGAAGAGCCTGAGTGTAATAATGACTGTGTACAATGTTCAAATATCAGTGAATCAATGCTGTTCACGATGTTCACAGCACCACAGCATTATTTCATCCATCTAGGAATCTTCAAACGACTTCTTATGTTCCTTTACAAAATAAACTTGTCGTCAATTATTCATTTACAGGATTTAGTGACCAGGATTGTGATAATAGCAGGATTGTGGTGATAAGCAGCGCTGTGCGTAGTACTGTGAGAGGAGGAATTTTGGTGAGGGAGTGAGGGAATCAAGGTAGCCTCACTGTGTGTGGCAGCCACTCTTGTTTTGCTTACCATACTAGCTTAGTGGTTTGCTATAGTGAACACAAATGTAGATACTTATATATAACGTGTGTTTATAGTGTAATAATAGCAACAGGAGTATGTTGGGAGAAGCCATTTTGGTGAGGGAGTTGGCGTTTTACTCATAGCGTCATCGTCTGCTGTGTGACTTGTCATGCAGTGTATGGTGGCCACTGTGCTATTTGCACACAATGCCAGCTTAGTTGTATAGTTATAGTGAATAAAACATGTAGATAGGTATACATAACATGTGTAAATGGTGTAATAAAAACAATAACAGGATGGTGGGAGGAGGAATGATGGCGAGTACAATGTTGGAGGAGTGAGGGAGGACTGGCTGGGTGTAGCAGGTCACACTCACAGAGGCCTGAGTGTGTTGATGGTGAATGTATATAGTGTGTGACAATGTATAGTGTGTAAATATGTTGTAAATATACATAAATGAACATGAAACATTGGTGTGAATAACAGTATGGTGGGAGGAGGAGTGATGGCGAGTACGATGTTGGAGGAGTGAGGGAGGACTGGCTGGGTGTAGCAGCTCACACTCACGAAGTTCTGAGGATGTTTATGGTGTATGTGTATACAGTGTGTGATACTGTACAGTGTGTAAATAGATTGTATATATACATAAATTAGCATGATACATTAGAAATATGTGCAGGATATGTGTACACATGTGTCATGCACATAACACAGTGTCTTCGGACAGTATGGATATTCTACTGCCATAATATAGTGTACGTGTTCATTATACATAGGATTAGCACGAAAAAACAAATAAAATGTATTTGAAACTGTGAACAAAAAATGAACAAAAATATATTCGTGGCAACTCGCTCATCCTGAGCCGGGCGCCCTACTGCTGGCCCCCGGGAGCGTAAGCCGAGGATTGATGTCGTCACGCGCAAACTTACGGACCCCATAGCAGACAAAGTACAATTTAAACGTTTTGTTAACAAATCCATACTCAGGAAAGGGTTTTTGACACTTTCAAAAATACAAAGGATTTTTTTCCAGATAATTTATTTCCTGCGCACTAGAGGGGGAAGCCGAGCAGCCCAGTGGTCAAGATTTTTTTTTTTTATGCGCCTGTGGGTGACAAAGGCCAAATAGCCCTTAGCAATACAAGGGTTAAGAAACTTTCTTAACTATAAGAAATATTATTTAAGATCTCTTAATATACTGCATGAACTTAAAAAATTACCAAACATTAAGAAAACTGTACAGGATTAATTACCAATATTACCTTCTTTTCAAAGTCCATGTGTATTTTTCCATGTTGATTGTACTGCAGACAGCCAACACTTTCAAATGTACCAGCTCCCCTCTTGCTAAGGTCATTTACGAAGAACTCAATTTCAAACTGACTTGGATTTGTTGCACTGTAAACAAACATGCAATAACTACCAATTAGTTTACTGAATGCATAATACTCTGAGAAATACGGCAATGAATTAAAAACTCTTTTCTGAAATGAAATTCCTTTCAGTTCTCTTGGTTGCTTGCCAAGCCAGAAGCCAAATGAATTTCACTCTTAAGTGAAAGCCTGGATGGAAGAACTAGCACAGTACCACCAGTAGGTAGGGAAGGGAGTGGCCACCCAAATGTGTGTGTAACAATATCGCTCATTGCAAATAAGGGAGCTAAGTCAGGGCAAAGCCCAGGTTGTTGTAGTTGTAGTACAATTCACCATACCTAATGAGCCTAACCATACTTAAGGTTATGCCAAGGGGTTGAATTTCCCATGACTTGCTCTCACAACAAGCAGTCATTTCATAGTGAACTGAGTTAAGACTCTCCACTCTCCCTATCAAGTCCATTTGTCATGGTGGAGATGTCGTTTAGGTTCTGGCGACGAATTCAGTCCTAAAAGATACATTTGGGTCCTGGCTTGGGGAGGCAATCGAGAAGATTCAAGCTCAGAAACAGTTACAGTAACGAGTACTGTAAGTAAACAAGCTCTGTATTTACACACTTCTTAACACTTTTGCTGCTTAACTTACACAGAAATGTCCTTCAAGGATACACCAGTAGAAAAATTACTTTCCCTCCTAGCTAAAATTAATCTCAAATTGTTTAATTTTTCTAATAAACTCATTACATATGATATAATATTCTATGTGAATAACATGTTTATAATTTTTTACTACTGCACTGTATTAGAGATAAACTTAAATCAAACATAAACAATACAATGTATAAATACTGTACTGAACATAAAATTTGGAGACAATTAAATTTTGAATACTGGACAAAAAGTTTGTACATTTTAGTATTTTAAATATTACCAAACTACTTTAAACTGAATTTGGTTGAACAAGACTTATCATAAGTAACACAAGGTTTGCTTCATTTAATACTACAGTATATGACACAAATACATTAATTAAGCCTGAACAATTAATATTTTCTTAAATATTAACAAAAACTATTCCTAAACAACTCACCCCAGACGTACTCCACCTGGAAAATCAGCTTGAACTCGAGCTCCTAAAGGAATGGCACGAACTTCAGTAACTTGTACAGGCCTTGGAAACTGCACTAAATCCAACTGCACTTTCTGACAAAAGATATAATTTTCCTTAAAGTTATATTTTTCAGTTTTTTGTTACGAAATGATGTTTTTCATTACATTATATATGATTTTAATTTTGTAAATATTAGTTAAAACATAGAAATTTGATCAAACCTAACCTAACCTTAATACCTCCCTCTTGTAAATAAAGTGTAAGACATCTACTCAGTGTATTCGTAGTATGTCCAATGTACCATATATTTTGGAGCCCACAATCCCTAGAATACATTTGTATTGATACACTACATTAGTACACCTCAGTTTGTCAGAGGAAGCAGAGATGTTATTTCTCATAATGAGGGAAGCTCTAGAAGGGTTGTTGTTATAAATAATAGGATGAATCCTTGCATTTTCACTGTAAGGTTTACAATTCATCAATTATATCTCCTATCACCTTTTCTCATATCTCTTATATGCCTGAATAAATGTATCTTTGTAACACACTATACTGTAATGTTTTCCTTGGAGGCCAATTATCCATCCCTGGGGGCCTGGTTATCCTCAGTCACATGGCCGCTGAACTTCTTGCTTAATTTTGTCAACTGCATTGTTGTAATCGTTGTTCACAATAATTTGCCGGATTCGTTCAAGTTCACGGTGCAAGAGCTGCCAAGAAGAGCATGTACAAATTGCACGACCTACATATGCACTGATAATGCTTCTTTTATACCTGTCAGTGCATTCACTCTTACCATTAATACATTTTCTTGTATCAGTTGGTTTACAATACACATGTGAATTAACCTGATGTGTATTGATACACATCTGAATTGGCCCTAAGAATCTTGGGGCCACAAGATTCTTAGCGGTCTCAACGAGAACAGGAAGCCAGTGGCTCGTCAAAGGTCCCCCCCATTTACCCTTATGATTTGTTCCAGTTCGATTTGCCTGTTTACCTAGTAGTAAATAGGTACAAATACAAGCCTCACAAGTCAAGTCTGGTCTTGGGCCGGGCTTGGGGAGTCAGCCCGTCGTCCATACAAAGACCCAAAAGTGATTATTCCATACAACTGCCAAACCCCATTTATGAATTAAAAACATTTTACTCAAGACTCACAAGTAATTTCGTTCCAACACTTCCGGAACGAGTGCTTCACTGACGAATATTGTTCGAACCACAACGCAATAAATGCTTTACCCACGTACAACAAATATAAATAATTCCCAACAGAACCTAAACACCTAACCTAACCTAACCTATGCCTATATATGCACAATATGCTAATATATTCTAATAATAATTAATATTGAGAAAATTCCCAATTTGAATGAACAGCATGTAAAAAAAATTTGAATGCGCTGGATGTAATGGACTTGAGTCAAGGACGGGTTGGGGAAGTAGAACTCTCAGAACCCCATCAAGCAGGAATCAAGCAGGTACCGGAGTTAGTCAACTCTTGTGGGGTTGAATCTTGGGGTCAGTAGTGCTATCTTGGGGCCACCTCGATACATCCTTTAAATTGTTGTTCTTCTGCACGTAGCAGATCAATCTAAATTATATACAACTTATTTGGTTCAAAATGTGCCTAAATATTATACAATGTATATATATAATTTTTTTTTTTTTTTTTTTTTATATGCTACCTTGATTTGGTTAGGAACACGTTACAAACTAGCAGCTTATCCAATATATCAAAAACCAACCCACAAGCTAATGATAATACATAATTGTCAGCAACAAGCTTGTTTGATACTTACATCGCTCACTTCATGTGAAAATGTGTCAAAAAAGAGTAACTCATACATCCTAACAACACATTCCTCATTCCTTGTCTGTAAACAAACCGCTTCGCCGGTATGACAACCTCCTCAGACAAACGCCCACCTTTACTCACACTTACTATTTCAGTATTTCAATCTCAAATATACACCTACTAGCTGCCTCATCTTAAATTATATAAATAGTTAATTTAAGTTCATTATTATGTACCCCATACCCATCCATTCATTATTTTTCATTCATTATTTATTATGCACCCCATACCCATCCCGAGGGCGCTGCTGATCCGATCCCACGATCGTCGCCGCCCCTAAATCAACACAACAACAACATCATCATCATCATCATCATCATCATCATCATCATCATCATCATCATCATCATCAATCATCATCATCATCATCATCATCATCATCATCATCATCATCATCATCATCATCATCATCATCATCATCATCATCATCATAATAATAATAATAAAATATTATTATTATTATATTATTATTATTATTATTATTATTATATTATTATTATTATTATTATTATTATTATTATTATTATTATTATTATTATTGTTATGTTGTTGTTGTGTTTTGTTGTTGTTGTTGTGTTGATTTAGGGGCGACGACGGTCGTGGGATCGGATCAGCAGCGCCCTCGGGATGGGTATGAGGTGCATAATATATAATAATAATAATAATAATAATAATAATAATAATAATAATAGTAATAATAATCACCAGGGAATCCCCTGCTTGAGCTGTATAATATGAGCTATGTTACTGGGGAACTTCCTATCTCTTGGACCAACAGTATAATCATTCCAATTCCCAAGCCAAGTCAAGAGAATGCTTTCCGCCCAATTTCCTTACTAGTTGCATTTGCAAAACATTCGAGAGAATGGTCCTCAACCGTCTCCTCCATAGAATAAGAACCATGCTATCCCCCCAGATATATGGCTTCATGCATGGAAGGAGTGGCATCATTGCATCACCACCTTTCTTACCATGCACACTGAAAAAGTCATATACCACCTTTCTAAATCTTAAGTATGCCTTTGATATTGCAAATAGACATGTTATCTTGAGTGAGCTTGCAAGAATGAATATTGGTGGTCGGCTTCTTTGTTGGATCAGGGGTTACTTATCCAACAGGAAGTCATCTGTATTTTTCCAGGGGCATAGAAGTGTAACAAGAGACTTTGAACTAGGTACCCCGCAGGGTGGTGTCCTCAGTCCTACCTTATTTAATATCTTAATAAACTTATTTATTTATTTATTTATGCATATACAAGAATGTAAATAAGGAATGTGAGGATACAAATATGGTAATTACAGTCTTGTAAAGCCACTAGCACGCGCAGCGTTTCGGGCAGGTCCTTAATCTAAGAAAATTTTAAGGAGGTAAATACTTGCAAAATTTATAGACAAAAAAATGATAACAGATTACATGGAATGAAAAAAAAAAGATGAGAGAAAATTATAGGTACAGTATATTAAAGCACATAGGTAGCTATGATTGATTGCAATGACAGCTTAAAAGTTGACAACAAAATTGGTAGGCACAATTGATTGATTGCAATGAAGCTTGAATGGTGTTGACAAAAATTGGTAGTCACAATACAGCATATGGCTAGCACATAAAAGAAGACAGCAATGAACACAATGATAAGGTTGTTTGATATTACATAAAAATTAGGAGATTGGGTAACACTAGGTACAGAGCAAATTTAAAGCTCAGTGTAGGAAACTAAATAGATGAAGTTAGGTACTTTTTGGTTTTGCTTTTAAATAAGGCAAAAGTTTTACAGTTTTTCAATTCACTAGGGAGTGAGTTCCATAGACTAGGTCCCTTAATTTGCATAGAGTGTTTACACAGATTAAGTTTGACCCTGGGGATATCAAAGAGATATTTATTTCTGGTGTGGTGATAATGGGTCCTATTACATCTGTCCAGGGAGAGTTTCAGAGCATGGTTTGCATTTAAGAACAGGGTTTTGTAAATGTAGTTGACACAAGAGAATGTGTGGAGGGAGTTAATATTTAGCAAGTTTAGGGATTTAAACAAGAGAGCTGAGTGCTGTCTGACAGCAGAGTTAGTTATTATTCTGATAGCAGATTTTTGCTGTGTGATGATGGGCTTAAGGTGGTTTGCAGTGGTAGACCCCCATGCACAGATACCATAATTAAGATAGGGGTAGATTAGTGCATAATATAGTGAGAGGAGAGCAGAGTTAGGAACATAATATCTGATTTTGGAGAGTATACCAACTGTCTTAGAGACTTTCTTAGTTATGTGTTGAATGTGGGTGCTGAAGTTGAGTCTCTTGTCTAGGAATAGGCCAAGAAACTTGCCATCATTTTTGTTACTGATGTTAATGTTGTCTATCTGTAGCTGAATTGCATTTGATGATTTGCTTCCAAATAAGATGTAGTAAGTCTTTTCGATGTTTAATGTTAGTTTGTTCGTTGACATCCATAAGTGGACTTTTTTTAATTCATTATTCACAACATTATTTAGTGTATGTGGGTTGAGGTTTGAGTAGATAAGGGTAGTATCGTCAGCAAACAATATAGGTTTGAGAATATTAGAGACATTAGGCAGATCGTTTATATATATAAGAAATAGAAGAGGTCCTAAGATGCTGCCCTGTGGCACTCCAACGGTAATTGGTAGAGTGGAAGAAGTTGTATCATTGATGGTTACATATTGGTGTCTGTCACTAAGATAGGATCGGATGTAGTCAAGGGCAAGGCCTCGGATTCCATAATGCTGGAGTTTAAGTAAGAGGTAGTTGTGATTAACAGTATCAAAGGCTTTTCTTAGGTCAATGAAGAGTCCAATCGGAAACTCATTTTTGTCAAGGGCTCAGTAGATAATGTCAAGGAGACTAATGATTGCATCATTGGTACTCTTTTGGGACCGGAAGCCAAACTGGCAGGGGCTGAGTATGTCGAATTTTACAAGGTAGGAATAGAGCTGTTTGTAAATAATTTTTTCAAATATTTTTGATAGAATGGGTAAATTTGATATTGGTCTATTATTGTTTATGTCCGCCGGATTGCCTCCTTTATGGACTGGCGTTACTCTGCTTTTTTGAGGATATCAGGGAAGGTGTGACACTCTATAGATTTGTTGAACAGTAGTGCTATGGGTGGGGGCAAGGGCATGGGAGGCTCTCTTGTACACAATGGACGGAATTTCACTGGTGTTCCCTGCCTTGGTTTTTAGAGAGGTGTATGATGGACACAACATCTGCCGGGCTGATTGGTGAAAGGAGAAGAGAGTTTGGATAGCTGCCTGAGAGATATGTGTTAATATGTGTCTGAGTCTGTGGGATTTTACTGGCAAGATTAGCACCAACCGATGAAAAGAAACTATTAAATTCATTTGCCATTTCTAAATCAGTTGACGGTATATCCCCATCCTTGTAGAGTTTTATTTGGTTATGTGAGTGTTGTTTAGTTCCTAGGATACTAGAGATAGTTTTCCAAGTGCTTTTCATGTTGCCTTTTGCTTCATTGAATCTATTGACATAATATGCAAGTTTTGCCTTTCTTATGATACTGGTAAGCATTGATGAGTACCTTTTAGCTACTTCCTTTGAAACTAGGCCAATCCTAACTTTCTTTCATATTCATGTTTCTTGTTGATTGAGTTGAGATGCCACTTGTGAGCCATGGATTGTTTAAATCTTTTGTCAGTTACTTGCTTTGTAAGAAGGGACAATGAAGGTTGTAGAGGCTTAGAGTTTTGGAGAGGAAAGGTATCTAATGAATTTATATCATGGGTATTATTGAATTCAGAATCCCAGTTAATATTGTGAAGTGCCTCTGTAAGATTGTCTAAAGCTGATTCACTGTGTAGCCTAAATGAAAGTTTCTTGCTTTTTGGTGGTGTTATGTCCATGTTCGCTATGAGAAAGGTAGGATAGTGGTCAGTTGTTCTGTCGTAGATTATACCAGATACAAGGGGAGCTGTTATGTTTGTCCATATGTGGTCCAAGGTAGTGGCTGATGTTTGAGTGACTCGGGTAGGTTTGGTGATTGTGGGGATTAGCATACAGGAGTTCATGCTGTTAAGGAAATAGTCAACTTGAGAGCAGTTTTGTTGACCCAGGTCAATATTAAAGTCTCCTCCCAGAATGATGTGGTTTTTGCTGAGATTGTTGTTTATAATAAGATTCCTTAGGTTGTCTGAGAAAGAAGCTATGTTAGTATTGGGAAATCTATAGATGGCTCCAATAGTCAAAGAGGATTTAAGGGATTTAATTGTAAACTGAGCAAAAGTATATTCACAGTAGTCATCTCTGTCACTAATGACACTGTTGCAGATAAATGTATCTCGGTAATATATAGCTGTGCCACCACCTTTTTTATTAGGCCTACAGTTATGAATGGCTTTATAACCAGCTAAGTTGTAGAGTTGGGTATAGTCTTTATTTAGCCAAGTTCCTGTTAAAATAATGAACGATAGGTTAGTACCTAGTGCTGTGAGTAGTGCATTTAAATCGTCAAAATGTTTACCAAGTGATCTAACATTTTGGTTATAAACTGATAGATAGGTGCTATTTTGGAGTTTGTTTTTAGCCTGGTGTGCTGTGAAATACTTGCAATAATGATGATCAATGTGCTGGTTGGTATAGATATGAGACAGAAGATTTTGATCAGGATCAATATCAGTGTGCATAGAGATGCAGAGGGATCATGATACAAGATACACGATAAGGCAAAACACAAGAATAAGAGCAGATACAATAAAATAGTAACAATTTAGTAAACACGCTGTTAAACTCTGTACCGAGCAAACCCAACGTTCACATCATTAGCTATGCTGATGATATAATGATACACACCACTGGGTATGCTAACACGCAGAACACTCTTAACTCTGTATTAGACTCATGTCAGGACCTAGGTTTAATTATCTCAGCAGAGACAACAAAGATACACAATCGGCGCCCACCCAGGCAGGGAGGAGCTGTTCGCAAGATGCAACTGCCTGATGGCTCCCAGCTTGACTATGTAAACAGATTCAAATACTTTGGCCTTGAGGTGCCACTGTATGGTCCTGTTGTATTCAGAC